TAAGATCTTATAAGAAACCAAAATTAATATATATTATATATATATATATATATACTTAAAAAGAAATTCTCAATACTTGCAATACTGTGACAGTGCAACATATAACTAATTAAAAGCTTCAAATCTTTTATACTATACCTTTATGTCCTAAATGTAATATAAATAAATATATATAAAATATATAAATAATTTATCTTTGAGTCTAAATGGTGGAGGTGCAGTTACAGAGGCTGTGTGGGGTTGGATTCCCTGCCTTCAAAGCTTTGCACCATCTCTTGTCTTCATCTCTGTTTGCTCATTTTCTGACTAATTATATCTTTAAATAAACAGTGATTTCTAAAAGACTCCATTGTCTGGAAGAACAAGACAAAAACAAAAAGTTTAAAAACTTAACCTCTGAGATTAGGCAAGGTTAAAGAAATAAAAAATCGTTGCTTTGAAAATGAAAGTGAGAAAACAGACATCTCTCTAGTGTTTATCGATCAATGTGAGGTTGAACTTTGAGCTGCTCATGAGTCAGAGCGTGAGGAGGAAGAGGCGCCTGTTGTGCTCACAATCTTCCTCCCAGTTTCCCCCTGAAACATTTGTTTTGGCAGAAACAAAGCTCCAAAATTTACTTTTTCTTTTTTCACTCTGTTGTGTCTTTCCTCCGGTGTTTCTTCCAAGCAGCCACTAAAATGTTTTATTAGTCGACTGTGAACAGTTGAAGCTCTAACCTGCAGCAGAAACCTCGGCAGGCAGAGTCAGCAATGTGCCGGCGGTCCAACCTCTTCTAAAAACCTCTTCATGCTCTGATCCCAGCTTCAGAAAATCTGTTGAATTAATAAGAGCAGCTAAACTGAGCTGTGATGTCAGCAAAAAAAAAAAAATATTCTCCAGCTCCTCTCAGAGGAACAGGCCGTCCTGTGCTAATATAGCGGAATCGTCTCTATTTGTACTCCTTCGACCTTAGCAGCCCTTCCATTCTGTTTGAGTTTTGTGCTTCGCTTAAAGTCAAATTGACACATGGTGGGTCAAAATTCTGCCACCTTTGGCTAAAACCAAACATTTCAATAGGATCACGTTTATTTGACGTGCAAGTAAAAATAAACAGGAACTGGTAACAAATATGACAGCCTCATTTACCGATCATGACAAACACCTGAAAAAGCTCTGCATGCATGATGGCGAATCCTGCTGCAATTCAAAACACAAGAAAGAATAGCCTACAAAGTCAATTAATAGAGAAATTCAAGCAACACTGCTTGACTTTTGACCCAACTATTGGCTTAATTTGAGATATATTAGAGGAGTCATCACCAGTAAATCTGACTTTTATTTTAAAGTTGTAGGGATGCGGCTGTTCCGACCATTTTATTTTCGTATTCGCGCGAATGGTGCTTGACTTTACACGAGTGAATAAAGTGAATGTGATTGGTCGTTTATCAAGGGGGCGGGATTGTTGGAAGGTTTGCAAACAAGTTTGGTTGTCGCTGGTTTGTGGGAAGCATCTTGCTAACCAGTTAGCAACTTATTGCTAGTACTGTAGGTTCCCAATGGGAAATTCCATTGGGACCAAGTAGCACTAAATTGGTGACTTAGAAACGACGCTGTCAAGGAACGCTATGGACAGAGGAAACATGCAAGAGGAGGAGAGTTTAGTGTCGGAGGTCGTGGATGAGTCTCCTCCGTCATCCATTTTTTATTTAGAGGAGGAAAGGATGAAGATGTTGTGGAAGAGGACGCCAGGGCGGCAGAAGCTTGGTTTGGTGTAGAAGGCTTCCAGCCGTACATGTTTGAGCCCTTGCCTCTCAACGCTGCCAGTTCTGTTAGCTCTACGCCTGCTGAAGACACAGACGTCCATCCCCGTGAACACTGGGACGGAACTCAATGGGAAAGGAAATCATTCTGATTTCAACCGTTGCGTATATTAGCTGCGACATGAATGAAGAAGCTATGACTGAAAAAATTTGAGTGACAGATGACCGTTGATATATGATTGGCCGAATTTAGGTGTACAAGCTGACATATAACTTACTGGCCTGCATAAGATAATGAAAAACTAAACACAGCGCGCCGCTTCGTTTTTAAAAGATATAGATATAAAAAATATAACCGCAGATGTCTGGGGGACAGTGATTCACCTACATGTTATGAATGCTGGCGTACCATACAGAATAAATTATGAACAGTTTAGTTTGTGCCTTCAAGTTGTTGCCCATAGTAAGACGTTACTTGGATATAACCTAACGGAATATCTTCAGAACGGCTCCAAATGACACAAAACTCATATGGGAGAGTAGAACATGATGTAATAATGTAAAATCAAGGGGCAAACGTAAAAAACACGGCGTTGCCCTTTAATATGTGTCGTCATTCAGCATCT